TTCATTTTTTGTTATATAATTTAAATATTAAATAAAAAATTTGTTACTTAATATTTAATTTTACTTTCTTATTTTTTTTTTTTTTTAAATAAATTGAGAAGAAAAGGAAGCTTGTGATTTATTTGAATTTTTTTTAAAATTATTAATAAGATAAAAGTCATTGCACGGAGAGTAAAGAGTCATACTTAATAAATTTATATATTTTTTAAATGTAAGTATCAAAGTGCAATTTGTAGTTTTCCGCTGTGGTAAATACACAGAATTAATAAGCGACTTCGAGGAACTGAGCTATGATTAATGTATTCTTTGACTGGGAGTAGTCAGAAGATAAAATTATTTTTTTTTTTTAATTATTTTATAAATAAAATTTAGATAATTTTTTTAGTTTTGAAATTTGTGAAGAAATAGAAAATATTTTTTGGGTGATTTATATGACAAGTTATAATTTTTCCCTTACTCATCGGGAAGAAATGTGTGGGTACTTAATAATTAATGAAAAAGGGAAGTTTGACTCATTGAGATTATTATTATTATTATTTTTGTTATTATTATCGTTGTCAATAATTTAAACATGACCAATGGGATTTTTTTCAGCGGTCGATAAAACTTTTGGTAGGACAAAGAGAACCTTGGCCTAAGTCACTGACATTCAGGACTCATTCCATTCTATTTAAATAAGAACGTTTGTGAATCACCAGGACATCGACTGCTACATTTTTTTTTGTTTGCTTACATTTAAAAGTACGTAAAGATAAAAGGTAAGTTTTTTTAGTGACTAAAGGGTTATTAAAAATTATAAAAGTTTTGAATTCTGTTTTAAAAATAAAGAAGAAATGAAGAAATAATAAAAATAAAAAATTTTTTAATTATTATTGAGTAAATAAATAAAATTTTGCTTTATAAAATAATTAATTTCTTAAATTTCACTGTACTTTCTTAAATATTGACATTTTTGAAGATATATGCTCATCCCGATGTTACACTCATCAAGAGCTTTCGTTTGAGTACCCACATGCATTTTGATATATTTTTCATATATACATATATATAATATATATAAATATATGAAAAATTGATGTCGGTACTTAAATGAAAGATCTCAATGAGTGTAAAAGTCAGGGTGAGCTTATATCTTTAAAAATGTCAATAGTTCACAAAATACAAGGTCATTTTTTAATAATTGAAATTTTTAAAGATATAAGCTCATCCCGATGTTATACTCGTCAAAAGCTTTCATTTAAGTACCCACATGGCAATTTTTATATATTTTACATATATGGTATTTGTGAAATATATAAATATATAAAATATATGAAAAGTTGATGTGGGTACTCAAATGAAAGGTCTCGATGAGTGTATTGTCGGGGTGAGCTTATATCTTTAAAAATTTCAATAGTTCACAAAATATAAGGTCATTTGTTAATTATTGATATTTTTAAAGATATAAGCTCATCCCGATGTTACTGTCGTGAAGAGCTTTCATTTGAATACTCACATGAATTTTGATATATTTTTCATATATACATATATATAATATATAAAAATATATGAAAAATTGATGTGGGTATTCAAATGAAAGGTCTCGATGAGTGTAACATCGGGATGAGCTTATATCTTTTAAAATGTCAATAGTAAAAATTTCAAATAGTTCACAAAATATAAGGTCATTTGTTAATTATTGATATTTTTAAAGATATAAGCTCATCCCGATGTTACTGTCGTGAAGAGCTTTCATTTGAATACTCACATGAATTTTGATATATTTTTCATATATACATATATATAATATATAAAAATATATGAAAAATTGATGTGGGTATTCAAATGAAAGGTCTCGATGAGTGTAACATCGGGATGAGCTTATATCTTTAAAAATGTCAATAATTCACAAGATACAAGGTCATTTCTTAATTATATATCTAGAGATAGAAATTGACTATCAGTGAAAATGATATGAAACCTTGAAAATAAGACATAAATTCAAGTCAAAACCTCTGCAATGACACTAAAAAAACCGATTTTATCATTTGATTATCCTGGATACAAAATTTTTCTTACTCTTTTAATAATAATAAAAAAAATAAAAACAAAAAAAAAACTAACAAAATAAAATAAATTTGTTACATAATATTAAAAAATGACTTAAATTATTATCAATAGACCAGTAAATGAAATTTATTTGTTTATATCAATAAAAATGAACGTTTTACAGTTTGTTATTATTTATTAATAATTAATTATCAGTTACTTATTAAATTATTAAATTTTAATTAATATTTAATGTTATAAATTGAGATAGATTAATAATACTTTGAAATTAAGATTAAATTATTTATCATTAATCATTATGTAATGTCAATCGGTTCATTTATTTATTTGTTTTTCTTCTTAATTATTGACTGCTTGAAAAATAATACAATTACAATAATAATTCATTCATTTATTTATATATATATATATATTTATATATTCTCTCACGAATAAAAACTCGTGTACCGTTCTAGCGCTAGTAAATTGATTTTTATTTAATAATAATTTAGCAAAGTTTAAGTCTTCAGAGCTTGATATTAATATTTAATAAGAGCTGACTAACCGAAAAAAAAAAATACTTGCTGTATTTAATAAACTTTACTTTATTTGGCAAGTACGGCGAAATAATTAAGTTTATTACTCTCACACTGCACATTTATATTGCATATCTACAGATTTATTATTTTTATTTTATTTATTTATTCACGGGCTTCTAAGGAAAAAAGAGCAATTATATTTTATGTACATACATAGCTGTAATATGTGCGTAATATTAATTATAATGTTGTAATTAATATCATTACTTGTATTGATGTACTTATTACTTTTACTTAATTACTTCAGCCACTCGGGCAAAAAAATATTATAAATTTTGATAAAAATTTTTAAACTGGTATTTCTTCTTAAATAAATTTTATTAACCAATAAATGAAGTTAGCTGACGTTTCAAAATTTTTTATTAAAAAAATTTCAATTAAAAAATTAAAAAAAAAAATTTCACCTGTAAAAAACTTGAAAAACTATAAGTGCAATTTTTTAGAATTCAAAAAAAAAAAAATAAAAAATTTTTAAACGTCTGCTAACTTAAGTATCGTAATAAAGATAAATAAAAATTATGATTAGCCGACATCTAAAAATTTTTATAATTTTTTTTATTAAAAAAATAATTACAAAAAAAAATTTTTCACTCGTGGAAAAATTAAATCTCTATAAGTGCAATTTTTTAAAATTATTTTTTAGTTTTAATTTAATAAATTAAGCAAAATAAAAAAATAAAAAGTGTCGGCTAACTTTATTATATAAAAATTTGGACTTTTTTCTGTGACATGAGTACTTAATGATTTTTTTTATCATTTAATTACTTTTTTTTTTTTTTAACAAGAATTACCAAAAATGGACAGGTGCCTCAGTGATCATAAATTTATATCTTCACGAATTTTTGTTAATTAATAATTATCAAATTTTGAAGATATAATTTTAAAATCTCGACGATTAATAATAATATTTTTATTCAATAAATATTACATATATTGATAATGATAAATATATATATATATTAATTAATAATTAGTATTGTTCTAAATGGACAGGAATAGTTTTGTTTTTCACAATATGGACAAATTTTTATTTTATTTTATTTATTTTTTTTTTTTCACTTAAATCTTAAGTAAGGTAAATTTGTATGTCTTACTTGTATTATTTCACACCTCAGACTTGCAAAAAATATTACTTTATTTTGCTTTGCAAGATTATTTTTTTTAACTATAAATTAATATTACTTAAAAGACTAGGTATCCATGAGCCAAATTAAAAATAATTAAAAATAATATAACACAAAACGTAAATAAACTCCGCGATAATTTAGAGCGGTGATTGACCAGTCACAGTTTTAAATACAATAATAATATTTATAATAAAAATTAACTAATAATTTTACAAATTATAATTAAGCAAGCTCATTTATCCCTAATGGCTAACTTAATTTACTAGTATTGCAATCCTACTGCACATTTTTAAAACATAAATTTTTTTTTAAATAATTATTTACTTCAATAATAATTATAATTATCAACAAACATTAAAAGCTGTTAGCAGTATCGACATTTATGTTATTTATAAATAAAAACCGTACTCATGTAGTAACATAAAAAAATAATAGTGTGAACTTTTATGGTACAATATTAATATAAAATAATAATCAAATTAATTAATTAAAAAAAAAAAAATTACAACTGTTTACATATAAAATTTTTAATCTACTAACTTGTAGATAATTATTTTTACTGTTTATTTTTTTTTTTCATCGGGTTAGTGTAATTAAAATTTTTATTAATTATAGAATACTTTGATAAATTTACGACACTTTTCCAGGTAAAATTACCGGGCCGGTAATTTGGAAAGTATCTTGTAAAAATCGTCGATTTTTTTTCGACTGTCTTTATCGCGCTATTGTAATTATTTTATTTAAAATAATTTTATTAGTATACAATTTAATTATTGTAATTGATTTAGGCGCGGAACATTTGATAGTTAAAAAAATTAAAGAATTAACATGAAATATATAAACATATTTATATGTATAAATAAACGTAGATGGTCTGAGATTATAAAATAAATGCTATGGAATGCTTTTAAATTATTTAGATTTTGTTAAATAGTTTCTTTTGTCTACCTCTAGTGTGAATAAATATGACGTCTTTTATTTAGTTTTTTTTTGTTTATCGTACTTGGATATAATTGCTTCGAATGAGATAAATAAATCGACTAATTAATAAATGTATTCAATGCTCCAAGTAATGTTACTGCACTGTAAAATTCAATGACTGTAATAATAAATTAGCTGGCTATTTTATTATACTAGAGACTGAAAACACCGCCGCTACATATATTGTAGGCATGTAGCAACTAATTTTAAGATATTATTATTTATTTTAATCGTATTGGATTTAATTGGAGTGGATTTTAGATTTTTATGATGGACTATTTATACCAGTAGCTTCATTTTCCACGCGACGGATATCTGGTGCCGGTTGTTGAGAGGCCTTCACCGCGACTTCGGCTTCGATGCAATGAGTGTAAACCTTCACCTAAAAATTATTTGATTTTTTTATTAAATTATTATGATTATTATAAGATTTATCAATATTTAGAATAGTTTTGAATTGAAATTTTTATTTAATATTTTTTAATGAATCTTTTCATAAAAATTTTAATCGTAATAATAATAAGTAGCAATCTCGTAGTCACTATGTGACTGCCATGGCTATTAAACTATGAATAAATAGTATTTTGCTTTATTAAATAATGACTTTGCTTAAATTGCACTGTACTTTCTTAAATATTGAAATTTTTGGAGATATAAGTTCATCCCGATGTTACACTCATCAAGTGCTTTCATTTGAGTACCCACATGCATTTTTGATATATTTTTCATATATACATATATATAAATATATAAAATATATGAAAAAATAATGTGGGTACTTTAATGAAAGGTCTTGATGAGTGTAACATCGGGGTGAGCTTATATCTTTAAAAATGTCAATAGTTAAGAAAATACAGTGCAATTTAACATAATTAAGAAATTACCTTTTATCGTGTGAAATATTGACATTTTTAAAGATATAAGTTCACCCCGACATTACACTCATCAAGACCTTTCATTTGAGTACCCACATCAATTTTTCATATATTTATATATATTATATATATGTATATATGAAAAATATATATCAAAATGCATGTGGGTACTCAAATGAAAGCTCTTGATGAGTGTAACATCGGGATGAGCTTATATTTTAAAAAATATCAATAGTTCACAAGATACAAGATCATTTCTTAATTATGTATCTAGGGATAATTTTTCTTATTCTCTTAATAATATAGATTATTATTATCATTATTTAATTATATATACCTCGACTAACACTTCTGCGCATTGTAGATGATGGAGGTGGTGCTGACTCTTGTTTGATAAAACTTCTCAATGCTCTGCCTCTTCTGTCTTGAATAAGTTTGTCTACTTTTACAAAGATTCCACATTTAGGTCTACATGTGAAATAACGTTGTCCACTAACAGCACCGTCATTTTTGCCTAAAAAAAAAAAAACATTACAATCATAATTTAAATTAATTAAAAATATCTCACTTAATTATACAAAAAAAAAATTAAAAAATAATTGGCTAGCTGAAACAATAGTTTAATTAAATTAAATTAAAAAAGCCCCGAGTTTAATATAAATTACTTTAATAAATAAGCATATTTTTTTCGTTGTGGTTTTAGAGGTTTAATTTTTTTAAATCACTCTATTGATTGGATAAAAAAAAAATTGGCACCATTTTTTCTCGGCCGAGACTTTACTGTAATTTTTTAAGCTTTCAATGGACTATTAATTTGATAAATTAAATAGACCCACTGTGCTAAATTAATCCAAATTGCAACTCAGCAATTTTATTAAAAATTATTTTTTTATTAATTTTATTAAATATTATTAATAATTATCAAAAATTATTTTATTAAAAATTATATTATTAAAAATTAATCTTTATTAAAAAATATTTTGAATCTTAAAAAAAAAAAAAAAACAACTTAAAAAGCTTGAAATCGAAACATTTATACTGTAATATGATATTTTATTTGCCTCATGGGCAGCGCATAAACATCTAAAAAAAAAAAAAAAAAAAATCCAGCAAATCGTTTCTACAATTTCAATATTTACATTTAAAGGTAAAAACTTTAGAAGTCACGTTCGGGAAAATAAAAACAGAAAAATATTTATAAATAATTCATAATAAATATTGAAGAAACATACCAGTGGGAGCATCAAGCTCAACACCAATCCAAGTCCCGGATGCGAATTCCGTGGGTCCAATATACGCAATAACACCGCAGTAGCTGTAGGGTCGGACCATAACGGACTCGCCAACTACCACCCAGTCGGGTAATGGAGGTTCTATTCTCGTTAAATCGTGCCGTGAACCGAATCCAGAATTTTTATCGCTCATATCATCGTCAATACGCTCCGCTGATGAACTATTGTCGCCGTTCTCGTAGCCCATATCTGGCTGGTGAAGTATATGCTCCAATTGCGCGGCAACTTTGCTTTCCGAGAAGTGTGGACGGACCATAGGAAACGAAGCTCGATGTTGATTATTATTATTATTATTATTATTATTATTATTATTATTATTGGCATTAGTATTATTATGATTATTGTTATTATTAATATTAATATTTGAATTAGAATTAGAAGTTAAAGTTGGAGTTCTCGAGTTGTTTGCAGAGCCGGAGGATTGTTTGCGTCTCCTGACAACTTTACCTGGAGGAAGTTTTGTGTTGACTATTGAGTTGTCCTCTAGAGGACTGTCGTCGCTGGATGCTTGGCTAATTTCCATCTCGTTTCTTTTATCAGCTATCGAGTTGCTGTCATTTTTGCTAAATAGGCTAGAACTTGATGAGAACCGCTTGTTTATCTCAGGTTGAACGTCGCTCTGGTCAACGTCCTCGGTTATTCGTTGTGATACTGATAAATTCTCAATGTCGGTATTGATTTCCCCCAGGTACTCCTCTGGTGTCTCTTCTACTAGTGAGCTGTCCATTTTTTCGGGCTTCTTGTACTCCATTATATTACGGTACTCCAAGTCTGGTGTCTCGTCAACGCTGATAGACTTTATCGACATAGAGTCATCGGATGTCAAGTTTGTTGTTGATACTGCTTGAGATCCATAACCGCTGCTACTCATACTTGGTGTGTTAATCTTCGTTGACTGGAGCTCTGCTAGAGAGTCAAGTGTACGTGATGTTGTTAGTGGCTTCACGAACTTTGTCGGGGCCTGTAATTAATTTTATTAATTAATTTGGGTAGTTAATATTTATGGCTTCATTTTCTATGCATCGTTGATGGTTATTAATTTAGTATTATGTTAATTATGTAAATTTTAATTTGTAATTTAAACATTGGCAAAAATTTATTTGTTAGAAAATTTTTATTAATTAAGTTAATAAAAATTAGAAATTTTTTTTGTACAAATTGAAAAAAAAGGTTTTTATTTAAAAAAAACTTAATCCGGTTCATTTATAAATAAATGTAATTAATTGACGTAATTAATATAATACTAGCAACCTTGCAGTCACTATGTGACTGCCGTGACTTTTGAACTATAAATAAATAAAATTTTAGTTTTTTTCAATAATGACTTTTGTTAAATTGCACTGTACTTTTGTAACTATTGACGTTTTTAAAGATATAAGCTCATCTCGATGTTATACTCATCAAGAGCTTTTATTTGAGTACCTACATGCATTTTTCATATATTTTATATATTTCATATATATGATATTTATAAAATATATAAAAAGTGCATGTGGATATTCAAATGAAAGGTCTCAATGAGTGTAATGTCGGGATGAGCTTATATCTTTAAAAATGTCAATAGTTCACAAAATACAAAGTCATTTTTTAATTATTGACATTTTTAAAGATATAAGCTCATCCCGATGTTACACTCATTAAGACCTTTCATTTGAGTACCCACATGGTATTTTTTATATATTATATATATATGGTATTTATGAAATATATGAATATATAAAATATATGAAAAATTGATGTGGGTACTCAAATGAAAGGTCTCAATGAGTGTAATGTCGGGATGAGCTAATATCTTTAAAAATGTCAATAGTTCTCAAAATATTTGTTAAATTGCACAGTACTTTCTTAACTATTGACATTTTTAAAGATATAAGCTCATCCCGATGTTACACTC